TGATAAAATAGAATTCAAGTTAACTAATAGTATACTCTATATTACAAAGAAAAGTACTTAACTGATATCTAATAGATTTATTGAAGACAAAAATGATACACACCTTATTATACTCCAGGCAATCATTGATGAAGTGGGGCAGGATGAAGTGTTGGAAGTATGGAAAGTTACGGACATATGAAATAAAAAAAAATATTATATTTTTTATTGTTAATGCAGTATCCTTCCTCTGCTCTTGCCTAATATTCATCTCAAAAAGAATCATTTGTCACCACTATTTTTGTGTAATAATGCACTCAAAAATCGTAATATTTTATATTAGTATGATACCTCAAAGATAGTACAAAGACTATCACCAAAATGTGTCAATTCCGGAAAAAGTAAATACTATATTTAGTTATGAAATAGATATTTTTAATAACAAAAAAATCTTACCAAGATAAAAACCTGCCACGGTTCTATCAACTGTTTTAACAGTTAAAAAATCTATTCGTAAAAGAAATTTGTATAGCTATATATAGAGACTAGCAAGAGAGGCTACGTTACCTGTAGTTGAACAAAATGATAATAGAATTGTTACTTATCTTCAAGCCTACATCGACCAAAAACATAATAAAAATCATCACAACATGTATGAAAGGTTCACCAATAATAAGATATCTGATAATTCTCTGAAAATTCAAATGAATGAAACTAGCGATCAATTAGAGAAATCTGAAGCTAAACAAGATCAACATATAAATGAGACAAATCTTAATAATATAAAGAATCTGAACAAAGTTATTACTAAAGGATGACCATCTAAGCGAAAGTATATCAGCAGTGTTAAAAAAGAACAAGACTACCAGGGCGGATCTAAGAGTAGAGGATCTTATAAATATTGTATTTGCGATAGAGTGAGCCACAATACAGCTTTTCACAAGAATAAGAGCAATAACAACAGTACAGAAAGAGGTGGAAGAGGTGTAAATTAGAGTAACAGCATATTATCTTGTAATTCAATCTCTTTAAGTTCTAAATAATATGTATAATAAATATAAAATTAGTAGCAATTAGAGCATGAAAAATTATTATATCTATTGTAATATATATTGGTATCACAATCATTGATTGGATTAAATCACGTATACTATACTAGCAATTTTAAGGTTAGGCCTAGAGTTTACAAATTTAGTATGAACACTATATAATATATACAATTGGCAGTGTTGTCACGGGACAGTTGTGGACAGTAAGTTTGGACACTTTGGACAATTTTGGACAATTAAATAAATTAAAATTACTCAAAATTTTATTAAGATAACCTATATTAATTTCTAAGTAAAATATATTCAGCATCTAAAAAAATATATAATTATATATTTTTTAAATAAATTGATTAATTATTAAAGCTTAAATATGTTCTGGACACTTTTGGACACTTGGACACTTGGACGTTGGACAGTACCGAAAAAGCCTTTGGACAGTCAAAACGTACATCACTGCAATTGGGTTTACAAACACAGGTTTATTCTAAGGATATTCTTAGTTTTTTTATTCTGGCTATTGTACATTAATATGCTACCTTAAACATAGTTTTTATTGAGTTAGGGTTGATTAGTACTGTTTGTTGTTAGCATTATAGTTGGATATTAGAGAAAACTAGCTAACTGATATGTCTATATATCCATATCTAAGTGCAAAGTGAATAGGTTATTTAGTAAATTCTAGTAATGATTATTAGAAATAGGCTTGCTTGTTTCAGAAACTGGTCTCAAGAATCACATGAATCAAAATTGATCAATCATATTGTTTATAAAGTAGACAGTATAATAACATTAATAGTATAGTTTAGTGGGGCTTAGTGAAACTACTTTATACTTTTTTATATATGATATATAAGTTTATTGTATCCTAAAAGTGAGATTTAAGTACTACACAGGGGTGCAAGACCCAGATTTATTCATAAATAATTATATTGCATTCTGAATGTGAAAAATATTTATTTTACAAAGTATAATACTTAATTAAGTCATTATAATTATATTAACAGATAGAGATATAACAATATAATAAAGTAATTAAGCTATCATTCTCTAAGCAGAACCCTGAAAAATTCAGATACAACTCAGATCTAAGTTTGTATAATATTAACCAAATAAATGTATAAAATAGGCTAAAATTTAAAATTTTACTATATAAAAATACAACGTTTGATGAATTTCTATATAAAATTTTCTTTTTTTAGTAACCTTTAAGCTATATCAGAGTTCTTCGAGATCCTCTTTAAGCAATATATTAAGAATTTAAATTTCATAGCTGATGAAAATTCAAAATTCTGCTTATATTATAGTTAATTATATTTGATTGATTAGTTAGAATAAAATAACTATAACTATAATTATACTAGCAAGACTAGAAAGTTTGAAATATTTGTATAACAAAAATATACAAAGGAATATAACCCAATAATTGATAGTGCAAATACAAGATAAGCTTCTAGGTTATATAAATTTAAAGAACTATAAGTATAAAAATCTGCTTGACAAGATCTGAATAGAAAATAACACAGATCTTTAACAAAGTTACTATAAAGATTAGACCCAGAAAACATAACTTATATAAATTAAATCAGACAAGAAACAGAATATTGAGAAGTATTTTTATCAACCGGGCTACTATTAATAAGAAAGAACTAAACAATCTAGTTAAAAAGCTTTTGCAGTTTATAGTACTAATATAAAACCTACTAGGCTATTTTGTCAGAAGAGTATCTATTTAGATGCAGAAAAAAATATATAGATTCCAAGCTATTTAGCTTAGAAGTATAAAATTCTTTTAGAGATATTAATAGATAAAGTGATAAAATTGTCAACACCAACTAGGCTACTATCAAACTTGAAAAAAACAAAGTATACATATTAGGTTATCTGAATTGAAATTTAGAAAAATAGAATAGAGGTTATTAAAGTACTAGAGATATATTGTGAAATAGTTTTAAGATTTGGATAAACTCTACAAAAACAGAAATAGGTTGAGTAACAGAATTCAAGCCAAACTAGAATTAAACAGAATTGAAAACAAAAAAAAGTTTAAACTAAAAAAAATATAAAATCATAAACAAAAATTTCGACTTGGTATTATATATACTCTTAGAATAGATAAAACTTGAGCTACTAGTAGTAAACTATAATCTATGTAAATCAACTAAAATGCAGATCATAAATTGCACAGTAAGAGTGAAAACACTACAAGCTTTACCAGATTTATCTTGAGAATAAAAGACCAGAAACAGATTAATAAAAAAATAAAGATCTACTTTAAAGTCCTAAGTCATCATATAAAATGTGTACTAAAGAAACTGGGTTATCAAACCAGAGGAATGGTTGCTGATTGATATAAGTTTAGAGTATATAAATACAGAGAGTTGAGATAGGTAACCCTTTAGTTGGATTGCAGGTATAACAACTAGTGTAAAACTTAGTAATAGGCAAACTACTTAAATAGATGCTTAAAAGGCGCAAGTATAACTAGATATACTCTCCAAATATGTATAATAACTGTTCTATACAATAAAAATACACTTGACCAAGAGATCACCTTAATACCAAAAAAAAAAATTTACAGTATATTAACAGATACAATATACTGTATAAGTATATACTAAATTCAGAGATGGTCAATTAAAAAGAGATAATTGAGATGTTATGTGCACTGTAAGCTTTAATATTTGAAAAACCTTATACGCTATATACTGTTTGACGTGCTATTCTGATAATAATATACCTAACACTTACTATATCTCTTGCGTATTAAATGGGTGTTAAAGTAATACTGTAGATCGATAAGTATGTATGCGTAATATAATTCATCTTTAGTAAGATTGTTACAACCGAAAATATAATAGAATTATTATACTCACTACTGTATTAAAAAGGCTTCGTTAGTAATAAATGGGGATTAGAACCGTGATTCGTTTAACCGCATATAACTGTTTATTTACAACAGTTAGACGAGTAACAAATGTGAAAGTAACCGTTTTTTATGCGATCACGTGCGGTAAACAAATATGCGCGATAAATAGCATGCATTAACCGTTGTAAAGATTACCTAATTTTTATTACAATTGTACTACTTATATAGTTAGATACCCCGATAAAATATATATATTAGAATGCGAGTATATGATTGTATATATATATATAATTATTTTCGATAATTCAACCTTAACTTTTATCACAGCCTGTTCTATAGTTAAAATGACCATAAGGAATATCGATATGATCATGGACGAGTAATGAGTAAATCAATAACGATAAATAGAATGACACAATTACATAATCCAAAGTAGCAGTCATTCACCATACCAAGAGAAAACATGAAACGCAAACATGAAACACAGTATTTATGTAGTCGATCTGATTTTCGTATCTCCCACATGGAAGATGATCGTCCTTACCGAACAAAAGCATTTTGTCGGGTCGGTAGACCCACGTCATTTGTTGATACAGAAAATAACAAAGATGACATATATGTTTATAAATAGAATTTCACTAAATTCAGTAATTTCCTTGTTTTCATTCATCTAATATTTCTAATATTTCTAATATTACATGCATCAACGTTCTTACGTAGTCTCACGTACGTACGTACGTACATATGTCAACAAGAATATTATGTTCTTGTAAACGAACGCACATGTGTACATTATATCTTCGTTTAAACCTGCTTTATTTTTTTTCCTTTCTTTTTAGGTTACTTGCCTACATGATTTAAATCGTACTCCACATAAAACAACCACGCATGCGTGTGATTAATCCAATTTGAATTACTGTAGTACATATGTTACTGCAACGATCCCTTTATATATATCTATATATTATGCCCATTTGCCCAGTTATTTTTTTTTCATTTGGCCTTTGCTCTTTTTTTTTAGTCAATCTTTTCCCCTTCGGTGAACGTCTTCGCATATTAC